ATATCTTTATAATAATAAATTAATGTATTATTTTCCTACCCTTACTAAAGAAAATGACATTAAAATCTTATTTTGTAGATGGAAAATATTGATTCAGAATTATAAAACTTCTTAAAAATTGTTTAATCTGTTATAATTTAAATTCTCAGGAAAGCTGTAAGGTGTTTTAATAGCTTCAAAACTTGTGCTTAACTTTCTTTATTTGAATTTAATTTTTTGCAAATGCTTCATTAATGACTTTTAAAATTAATCCTAAGAAATAGGCAGAACTAACGCTATTAACAGAGTTAAAGCCTTCATCGAATTTTAGGCCTGAATGAGGTTCAAATAACTGTAATAGACTTGAGAGATTGCTGGATGACCTTGGCCAACTTAACTGGAAGACTGGCCACTTTTGATGAGAGGCTCTGTGGGACTGTGGCTAAACCTTTCTCCTTTTTACTTGTAAATTATGAATGGGCTGGATGAGTCACAACTTAAGGATTCTTCTGAAATTAGAATGCAAATGTATGAAAATTTCAGTTAAGAGTTGAGTTCTCTACAGTAGCATAGAATTCCTTTTAATTATGTAAAACTACTCAGAAAGAGAGATGAGAATTCTGGTGTTTCCATGATCTTTGTTCTTCATTCATTCTGGATGAAGACTGTCTTTCATCTGGAATAAACTTTTCTTTCAGCTTAGTTAGGAAAAAAAAAAAAAAAAGCTTTGTCTCTCAACGAAATAATGACACCATTGCTTCCTCAACAAGACACTTTGAAATGTAGTCTTTATACAAAGGCATAGGGAGAAGGATGTGGGTAGAAATGCCTGATCTCATGACAGGCTCATAACAGATGGAATGACCTCATGTTATTCTCCACCATGCTTTGCGCAAGCATAAAATTCCTCCTCACTTAAAAATGTAGCCTTCTAGGTACCACTTTGTAGCTATCACTACTCACCAAAACAGAAAAGCATCCAACACCTTGAACTTCGTGGTGCTTAGTTTAGATACTGCGAGGAGAAAATGTTCTCTTTATATAACGCACCCAGCCTGTTTTCATCTATTATACTATATCAAAGGTATTAAGACCCTAGGATATAACCAGTTATGTATAGTCCTGTTCATCTGCCACTAAAGCCCATGTATCATATGAATCTCTAGTATATATTAGAGTCACTGTTTCCCTAGAAATCTTAGGGATCTCCTGTAATGTTTTGAAGATAATGGAATATTTTTGCAAACATTTGCTTTATAATTATTTTTCTGTCACTTTCACTTCATATTGTTTATAAAATGTCTCTAATCCTGAGCTATGAACTCACATGCAAGCTTTATTAGAAAGTAATTCTTGACATTAGCCTCTAAAATGACTGCCAGTCAGTGTATGTTCAAAATACATTTATATCACTTTTTATTAGCTTTAGCTTTCTTTTCTGGAGCCTTCCTAATTATAATTGCTTATTCAATGTCCATCTGCTTACTTTGACTTAAACTTAGAGAATAAAGAAAAATCTTGATCTTGTTTATTCTATTTCATCTGAAGTTATCACAAAACATACAAAACATCTGTCAAGTGAATTAATTAACATGGGGATGATAATTCATATAATTTACTTTTCCTTACAGTTGTTCCTTTTACTATTTTTATCACTACTACTTTTTTATCTGTGTGTTCTTTACTGAATATGGAAATGAGTAGAATCACTGGTTCAGGAAATTCCTCCTCTATTTTTAGATGGTAAGAAGCATATATATTTAATTCTCTATTTCAATAAAATAATCATATGGTCTCATGAAATGATTAAATCATGAGTTAAATTTATTCAATTTTCATTAGCTAATCTGACCTTCAGAGTAAATCTTGAATCATCCTCTTTGCATTTACTAATATTTAAATTTCTGGATGTTTATGAACACCAACAATCTCTGATACTGGTTAGTTTATTTATTTACTTTTTTGGCCCAGACAGTTTCATTTTTCTGATAATTCTCAATAGACATGCACATGTGTATAAAAGGAAATGATTTTTACATAGATAAATATGATGGGAAATTAATACATGATTTATACTAGAAAGAATAAGAAATTGGTGGTGGGCACATTATTGATTATGTGAACACTCTTACTTTATAAAGTAATTAAACCCATAAATTACACCACCAGATAGAGACACAAGTGGGAATAAGACTGGCATGCAAGCAATTATTCATCCTGTAAATCTACAATCACAGCCTTCCTCGTGCCTTCCTTCAGTGTATTCCTGTGCTTGTCTATGGAAGTAGGATGCGGACAGTATATTTAGTGGGTTAACAACAAAAATAGTTTCTGTGTTTCTACATGAGAAATCAATGTTTTAAATGGAATTAGCAGGGCAAGCAGCATGGTGCTGCCACGGTAGGTAACTTCAACACTAAAGCTTAGCATTTCTACACCCTAAGTTCAAACATCTGAGAAAATTTGTATTCTTTGTCTCTGTGCTGCGGTGTCCAACATCAAAGATCTGATCCCCATGTGGCTCAATTAGCTATGTACTTTTTTTTTTTTTAATAGCTCCTGGTGGTTCGTTTTGTTCTTTTTACATTGATATCTTTATAGGGACATTAGAAATTCCTTTGTTGGAAGAACATTTTGATTTCTCAAGAAAACTTTGTTTAGAGTGTACTTCTATTTTATATTTCAAACCCTTAAAACTGTTATCATACAATAAATAAAGGGATTTTTTTCCTGTTTCAGAATATTTTTATTTTTATTATTAGTTACATTTTATTAACTCTGTATCCCAGCTGTATCCCGCTCCCTCATTCCCTCTCAACACCACCCTCCGTCCTTCATATCCTTCCTGTCCCTTTCCAAGGAGAGGACCTCCTCTCCTTTCATCTGACCTTGTTTTATCAGGTATCTTCAGAACTGGCTGCAAAGTCCTCCTCTGTGGCCTAGCAAGGCTGCTACTCCCTTGATTTTAAGCACATTAAATATTAAGCCATATTATAGTATGTGAAGTTAAGGACTTAAATTGAAGACATATTTTTAATTGGTACCAATATATTTTATAAGATATATTGTCTAATAGAATGATAATAATAATAATAAAAATAATAATAATTTCATTCTCAGATTTGCAAATCATAATTGGATGCCTTACTTCTTTGTGAAAATATATTGCTTTAAAATGAAATGACCATCAATAATGGACTTTTATATAAATTTATTTGTAACATTTAATAGGTGTAGAGCTTTAATGCTGCTTCAAAATTTCTTGTAAATTTTGAGTTAAAGAAAGTATTTTTAATTGGGCTATTGCATAAGTGAGCACTAAAGAGAGTTAAATAAAATGCTATAAGGTGCAAATATCCCATTTCATTAGTGAATGAAAAACAAAAGAAATGAAAAGCTGAGGGAGGGAGGGTGGGATTGGGAGGGAATAAGGGAGGGGGATACAGCTGGGATACAGAGTTAATAAAATGTAACTAATAATAACAACAACAACAACAACAACAATAATAATAATAAAAGAAAAGGAAAGGACAGGGCATGACTGTTCCTTGGTATGGTGAGGAAAAACCTTATTATAGATAAAAGTGACAGCAGAGGCAGATGCAGGGACTTCTGGGAGAGTCTAGAGTGGTCTTGACCAGCCTGAACTGGGTCACATGGGAGACAGGAGAGAGAGGAACCATGTGTCGAAGCCAGAATCCAAGGATACAAAAAGGGTGGGTAACCAGGAAGTCTGGTTTATATAGGAAGCAGCCTCTGAAGGAAGGGTATCCCAGTCTCTGGGCTGGAGAGGTGTGAGTAGAAGGCAGAATATGCCAGCCATACTTTGTAACATGCACGAACTGAGAGATACTAGGGGAACCTCTGGCCAGCTCTGCTCTGATACATTAAACAGCACCTCAGCACTTTTCCTGGGTTTGACATTTGACAGTTAGACATCTGTTAACACTCATCTTGACTGATGCATACATTATCTTCCTCAATCAAGATGAATAATATTTCTTAATCTTATAACTTTAAGATATAATAATTCATTATTATAATGAATTACATAGATTTTTTTTAAAGAAATTACATAGACCTGAAGATAATCTTTGTTCCTTTTTTAAAGCCTTCTGAATTTTCTTTATACTCCAGGTGTTCTGTAGTTCTTTAAAAATGTCAACAAGAATAATATTAAATATAGTGAAAAAGGCAAATTTCAGTACAGACATTTCCACATCAATTGAACTACCTCGTATATAATGTAGTAAAGTAAGACTACTTAATTGCTATATTCTCTTATAAAGTTAAAGAGACTGGCTATAAAAAATTACATGTAATCAATACAAATGCAACTATAAAAGTATCCACATATGGTTCTTGCAATTTAATTTTCTCTACATAATTGCTACTGATAGGGGTTTGTATACAGAATATACAAATAAATGAATACTTCGATGTTTCATTTTATTTGATTTTAATCAAGGATATAATTTCTCATGCCAGCATGTTTCAATAAATTCATTTATCTTTAAGAAAGTAAGGTAATAGTTACTTTTGTAATTTGACATTTATAGATATATATTTACTCTTTCACAAGAAGCTCATTTTGGAATCATCTTTGAACATTTAAAAAAATAAATTAGTAAAACAGTAGTCCTAAAAGAAATTTTTGTGAGTCATCATTTCCAACATAAATTTGTACTGAGAAATCATATTGCTCACTACTTCAATTTGTGCAATGTTTTATCCAACAAATATATGTTAAAAAAATCTAGTAATTAATTATAAGCATATATGATTTTGAGAAAATGTGATATAGAACTGTTATCTAATTTATGTACTCAAATTTAGATTAGTTTGATTTTAATCTCTTCCCTGAAAAGACAGCATGCTTTTGCTGTCAAAATTCTATTATCTGCTTAAGTGCTTTTTATACATTGCACATAAATTATCATTATTATTCTGTTAATGTTATTTTTATAAAAGGGCCTTATGATGCTCAGGTTAGTATCAAACACTCTATGTAGACCAAGACATTACTGAACTCCTGCCTCTATCTTCCAAGTCCACTTGCCCGCTGCAGTCTCTTCCACCTTCATGATCTGGATGGAGTGCGCGCGGGCACGGTGCTGGGCACCCATTTCACGGTAGCACTGGGTGACCGCACCAGCGGTGGTCAGGTCCCGGTACTCTTGGTACATGTTGTGTGTACCGCTGTGGGAGTCGTAGCGCAGCCAGTTGCTGAAGTTCTTCACCCGCAGCGGCGACTTCTCAAACACCTGCCCGCAGTACACAATCTCCCCGGATGATTTCTTCATCTTCTTCAGCTGCGACACCAAGTACCAGAACCGGGACTTGGCCACCACATGGTTGGGTGCGAAGATGCGCATTCGGTACAGGGGTGGTGTGTGGCACTTCTGGGTGGGCAGGCAGCGCCCCACCACTTTATACTCCCGAAGCGTTCCCAACGCCTTCTGGCGGTCCATCCAACTCTGCCACTCCCAAAAGCAGGGCATGTCTTATCTATGGCTCATTCTGTGAAATCTTTCTCTAATTTGTCACTTTGTCTGCCCCTCAATTAGACGTCACTTTTAAACAAGACAGTTTCCTTCTATAAACTAAATTTACCTTTATTTTTTGAGATTAAAGGTGTGTACTAAGGGTGTGTCTATTTTCCAGCCAGATCGTACTATAATCCTGAGAGTGTCTGCAATCTAGCTGTATCACACACACCTAGAAGGTGTTTGGATGTTTTCTCTTGCCAGAGGAACCATGTTACTCATTAAAATTCTTCTATAGGTATACCTTTAAAACATTTCCTGTGAATTTAATTTATGAATTGTGTTTTGTTTATACAAATTTGAAGATTGTTCACTTCTCTTTGAGAAAATGTTCTTTAGCTAACATTTCCTTCATCCTATGAATGTATTTTGAGTACTGTTTCTGTATGTCACTTTTACTTTCAAATATTATAGTGGCATTATGAATGTAACAGAGTTTAAAATCATTATTCATTCAATATTTCCAGAACAGTTATAGTAGAATATTGGACTTCCACAGGAATAAATTGGCCATTGTCTAAATTGTCTATAATTCTTTCCAAATCCTTTTATTTCTCACTTCACTAAATGTCTTTTTTTTCTTATTTTTTAAATTTATTTTTATTAATTACAGTTAATTCACTTTGTATCCTCCCTGTAGCTCCCTCCCTCCTCCCCTTCCAAACCCACCTATGCCCCTCCCCCAGTCCATTGAGAAGGAAGAGGAGGACCAAATGTCCATTTATTGCTACCATTTTACAGTGACTTATTTTTTTTTAATTTCAGTTTATTTATTTTACATGCCAAGTGTGTGCCTCCCTCCCCTTCTCCCAGTCCCCCCTTTCACTCCCTCACCTTTCCCCTCCTCACTTTCCCACAGAAAAGGGGAGTGTCCCATATCAGCCCTCCCCAGTACATCAAGTCACATTGGAACTGTGCATATCCTTATCCCCTGAGGCCAGGCAAGGCAGCCCTGCCAAGGGGAAGTGATCAAAAAATAGGCAATAGAGCTCATGTTGGAAACACACCTCCTTCTATTTGTCAGGTGGCCCTCATGAAGACCAAGCAGTCCATTGGCCACATATGTGCAGAGGGCCTATTCCAAACCATGCAGGCTCCTTATATGATGACTCTGTAAACCTCCATCAATCTAGGCAACTTGTCTCTGTTGGTCTTCTTGTGAGTTCCTAGTCCTCTCCATGCCCTTTGATATTTCCCCCAACAGTTTCACAGGACACCCAGAACTCTGCCCCATGCTTGGCTGCAAGTAACAGCATCTGCTGCTGTCTGAACCTCTTAGATGAAAGTCAAGTTAGGTTCCTGTTTACAGGCATAGAAGAACATCATTAGTAGTGTCAAGGGCTGGCCTTCAACTGCAAAGTGGGTCTCAGGTTGGGCCAATTATTGGCTGGACATTCTCTCATGAAATACTACTCAGCTATTAAAAATAAGGACATCATGAAATATGCAGACAAATGGATGGAATTAGAAAAGGTCATCTTGATGAGATAACCCATATCCAGAAAGACACACATGATATGTACTCATTTATAAGCTGATATAAGACCTATAGTACAAGATAACCATACTACAATCCATTGACCCAAAGAAGCTGGGTAACAAGGAGGGTTCACTAGAGGGTGCTGGAATGTCACTCAGAAGGGGAAATAGAATAGACAGCAGAAGTGGATGAAGAGAGGGAACTGGGCAGGAGATGGAATGGGAAGGGATATAAGGCTGGGTATCAGATGTGGGGAGAATGGAGTGGGAGGTGATTAGGCTGGGAGTAGGAAGGGAAACTGAGAGGGGCATCTCATTTTCAAGCTGGAGGCCTGCAATAGGAGAGGCTCCTAAGAGTATATGGGTGTGACTTGAGCTGAGACACTTAATGGAGGGGGAAATGAAGATTAAAGTGACCACCTCCTAGCCAGGCAGGACTAGTGGAAGAAGGGGAACAACAACCCGATGACAAAACTTTTGATCCAAAAATTACCCTACTTACAAGAAGTGCAGGGATGAGGATGATATCATGACATTTTATCTTAATGGTTTTTTTTTTGCATTTGTCATTATTATTTTTTTATTTGTATATGTAAGTATGTGCAAAGACCTATGCTATATTACATAGGAAGTGGGAAGGTCACAGGCCAAATTGGAGGAGTATTTTCTCTCCTTCTGACATGTTATTTTTTCCCCTGAAGTGAACTCAAGCCATCAGAGTTGATTATTATCAATCATTATTACAATGATTGTTTGCAGCTATATCAAATGGGTCTTTGCCAATGTCTTGCAAAATAAAAGTGTATTCCAATGTTTTAATTTTTTTGGCACAAGAAGATATTGTCCAAGGAACAGAAAGAGAAACCTGAACACCAACCCAGCCACAAAACCCTCTACCTACAATCTCTCCAGCCTGTAAAATGTGCTGGGAAAATTATGATACAGAATTTGTAGCAATAGTCAACCAATATTTGGTCCTTCTTGTGTAAGTCATATCTGTTAACTTGGGGTTTTTGTGGGATTCCCGTGGCTAGGAATGGCTAGGAGTGGCTGTATCTGACTCTTTTGTCTGATTTTAGGACCCTATTGGGTTGTCCTCCTATGTCCTCCTATTGGGTTGCCTTGTCTCTCCTGAATATGAGGGATATTGCCTTGTCTTATTGTATCCTGTTTATTTTTTGGCTATTGTCTCTTGAAATCTAGATCTTTTATGAAAAAGAAAAGAAAGGGTAGTTAGTATAAGGGAGAAGGGAGTTGACAGGGAGGTAAGAGGAGGAGGAACTGTGATTAGAATGTATTGTATAAGAAGATTCTATTTTCAATAAAACTTAAATAAATAAGAGAATTTATTCAACGAGTCACTTCCAAGTCTTCAAAATACTACATCTTAAACTTCAACATTGCCCATGATTCAGCTGATATTGCCTAATATTTAATGCAAATCAGAAATAGCATGAATGAAAATGGATATGTTGCAAAGAAACTTATTTTACCATTTTTATTTTCCAAAATGGTTGTCTATTAGTAGAAAAGAACTTGTTATCATATAAATAACAAATTTATTTTGAATCTGATTTCAACATAATTACAAATGTGTTCTCTGTGATTTTCATTCTTATCACTTACATTGATGTTATTTATATTACATTGTTATGTTTTTTTAAAGACTGCCTCCAGAATAGGCTGCTGACAAGTTGTTTATAATTTTTTTTTGTATCTGAAATGAACAGATTTCCATAGAAAATGTTTTGAATATAGAAGTCTAAAACTTTGAAACACTTTTTCTCTTCCAAAATCTAAAAGAGGGAACTTCAACCTCCATAAGTAGATTGAGTCACTGGGAATTTTCCAGATATAACACTTAGAATTAAACTTGTCTAAATATATGTGTGCAGACATGTGAAATTTTGATGATGCAAATGCAATATTTAACAATAAGACATTACCTAAGATTATTGTTCCAATATTCTCTGCTTCATTCAAATACATTAGATAAGCATGGTAATAGTTACATCAGTGTATTAATTGCAATTTTGCTTGTTACTTTATAAATATCATTAGTTATTACCATATAATGTATACAGAATAAGAGCTTAATTGACTTTTTTGATCTACTAATGGCTAAATAATAGGCACATCTAGCATTAGGCTATGAAATATTCAGCTGATTGCACCACATTATCCTAGTCTTACAATATTTTAATAAGTAATTTTTGATAGAGGTCACTTTAATTATTCAAATTAACCTGAAATAATTAACATCAATACAAATTTTAAATAGTTTCTTCAGTCGGAAGTAAAAAATACTATGTGGTAAGGAATTCAAATGACATGTGCGAAATTTTCATACTCCACACAAATTAATGCTTAATAATATAATATTAATTTAAAAATGACTCAGAAACATGGAAGTAGCTGTTCCCCCCCCCATCCTGCATAGCTATTCCCATTGTCTTATATTTAAAATAGATATATTAGTGTTACGACAGATCACTGAGAAAGTGGACACGTACCTCCGTCACTAACCCTGAACCTTATCCAGTTGATAACCAGTCAAAAGTGAAAAATTTGTTTTCTTCAATGGAGTTTCATTGGCTATATACAATCCACACTAGATGACAGATCCCTTGCTCAACTGTAAATATGTAACACAAAATAACGCAGTGACAGTTTTTGAGGATCTTTGTCTTATAATGATTTGTCAGAATTTTTTAACCTTATAGGTCCTCTGTGGATACGTTATGATTTCCAGTTTTGAATTTTTAATGGAATATCTGTTTGTCCAAATGTGTTTGTCGCTTTTCTTTGGCTCCTTTTCTTCATTTTCTCCTTTCTTAGTTTGTTTCATTTCATTTTATTTTGTTATTATTATTATTAATTACTAGTATTTTAAGATTCTTGTTTTTACTCTAATGAGCCAGGTGTGTTGGGAAGTTGGGGCTATCTTGGAGAAATTGGGGAAAGGAGAATGTATAACCAGATTAAACATATTTTTAATTAAGGAAAAAAATACTGTCACTGATTTATATCAAACAACCTATATATATATATATATATATATATATATATATATATATATATAATTACATCAAAAAAGTATTCATTCAGCGTTTAGAAGAACATTTTGTAAATAGAAAGTTAATATTCATCATAAAAATATGGGACCTTCCACTAGCACAATGTAATAATCCATATACCATGTTTTGTAAGAATTATAACATTTCTATATTTATAACATACAAGTAATGATATTTAAAAAATAAAGATGCAAACTTGTTATGTGTATATAAACATTTATTTCACATGTATATGAAAAAGCAGTTAGTATTTTTAAGTTATTTTGTCTAAATTTTGGAGAACACAGGCACAGTTCTCCCCATCCCTGTCACTCACAGCAGCCAAAGTGACAAAGACTCATGGTCAAGGCCTGAAATTATATGTATATG